TTTAAGACAAAAAATCTGAATAACTGGCCTTATCATGCGGGGTCTTTTTTGCACACATCTGTTTGCTGTATTTCAATGTGCAGGTGTTTGGGAAATCCAGCACATTCTAGCATCAGACAGAGCAGCCCCCTGGGGCGGGTGGGCATTGGTTGGCATCACCTAATTGATGCCTTCTTCGGCTGCTGGTGACGTCGCTCCAATAGCATCATGCCATGAAGAAAGCCCCCACTCTACACTCTCCAATTCGCATGCACTTTACAATGAGCTGCTCACACTCCAGTCCGCTGCAAGCACACACACCGGGGAAATCAAGCTGAAATACCCGTGCATCTGCAAGACTGCCTATACAACCAGACACACCAGGAAACAATGCTCATACAAATTCAACAAAAGTTACATAATCCAGCCCCATGATGTGAGAGATTCCAAAATAGGCATTTCGATAGAGTGGGGTGTTTTGGTTCTTATCAGTCTGGTACTGCTGCAAAGAAACGAGCTGTCACATCTCCTTTTACAACCCCCTGTCAAAATAATCAGTCAGGAGGCTATCAGTCGTTGAACCCAAGAGAGGCAAAAATAAGGCATGTAGCTAATGTGGATAGAAGCAGCCGTTAGGGAGTCAAGTGGGGTCGTTTTTTAACGTAAATGGCAACTTATCACACTCCAGAGTAGCCCATATGCGTACTGAAAGTAAACGCCTTTGGCCATATGTGCGCACAGTCTATACCGGCATCAGACGGTGAGACACCCGCTGCCAGCGAGCCAAACCCCGGCAAACAAACACTTCACTTTCACCATGTCGTGCAGTCATCAAACGCCGCCGCCGCCCTGCTTACCTCCGATGGTGACCAGTTCTGTCTTTCTTCCCCTTCGGCCTCCTTTTTCTAGCCTGGATGGCCATCACTGCCGGGGCGATGTGAGGTTTATCAACGGGCATGACCGACGTCCGAGTCCGGGGAATGGTGTAGGAGGGACGGGGAGAGAGAGAACAAACATTCATCATTATGCTTTAAAGCTGGCGGGTCATTTAGCGTCGTTTGGTGTGTTCTGGTAGGTTAGCTACACGGGTAACTTCCGCGCCACCTTTCATGTAAAATACAAACAATAAGTGTGGTAGCATGTTCAAGTTAGAGGCTGAGGGATACGCACCTTTCCTGGAGCTCATGTTTCCTCCTCTTCCCCTCAGCAGGAGCTGGGGCAGCTCAGCGGCAGCAGCCGGATTCTCTCTCGCAAATACACACAAACACGCACATGCACATAGACACTAACCTCTACACGCGCTCCCTCTGGCGGCAGTGACATGCAGTGGCCGCGTGGATATGCACCAATTTGCCACTATGTAATCATATTTAACAATAAAACGATTTATTAATGTATTTAGCCTATTGGGAATTAACTATTTATCACATGTATCCGATTACCAAACAATATGATTTGTTTCCTTACTTTTTCAATGAAGGAAGCGATTAGAGGTAAGCAGAGCGTTATATTATTGACTCATTAGTGAGGATTAAATGAGAACCCTTTTCGTTTCGTTTACTTAGGTACAATTAAAATTAAACATTTTCAGTTGCTTTATTGTGAAAAGGTGGCCATGCAAGATGGTGTCACATACAGTACAATTATGCTTTATTAAGGAGAATTAGACACTTTAAAAGCTAAGGAGCATGCACCTGAATTTAATTTAAGTGCAATACAACATTGTTGCTTGTGTAGAATAAACACATAGACCTACTACATAAGTAGGCTATATGTTCCTGAATACTGTATATCTGTAGGTAGGCGTACATGTTTTAGGTATTTGTACTTTAAGTATTTCCATGTTATGCTAAGCTAAAGTCTACTTTTACCTGATGAAAATTAAGATAGAAGGACATTACCTTAGCTCCACTACATTTAGAAAATTAACTAAATGTTTAATTGATTTTCAAAGTATTTGCCAATCAATTTCCAACTCTGCTATAGTTCACTATGCCAAAGAATGACAAACATGAACTAATAGCATTAAAGAGGAAACCATTAGAATGTATGGGAGGAAACATATGGTAGCATTGACAGAAGTAACCATGATGTCATATTTGCAAACAGCATGTTTGATTCACAGTTAACACAACCAACAAGTCCTTATTGGTTTACTTATTGATACGTTTCCCTGCAAATGTAAATCCGATCTGAGGCATCTTGCGTTAATTCTCAGTGAAAAGGTATCGCTGGGATTCGAACCCAGGATCTCCTGTTTACTAGACAGGCGCTTTAACCATCTAAGCCACGACACCGATATCATCAATATGTATTACTATTAATCAATGCCTCCAATTAACTGCAGGATTGCTTGGGACTTTAATTGAAGTAAGTTGATTCCATTTAGATTTTTCTTCATGTATTTTCATGCAAAGTTCATTCCGATTTAACAGGAGTTTTATGTGAATTAAAAATATATCGTATATGCACTTTGTTAGAAAAAGTGGTGGGGACCATTTTCCTGATTTAACATCAGCATAGGAGAAGACAAAGGATGTCCCTCCCCTGGGTGTTGAGCACCTGCATGAAAAACCAATGCAAAGACCAAGGTGTTTCTAAAACATTGAACGCCCAACTATACAGTATGTCTTGCTGTGATGTGATCTTGAGTGAATTTGTCTTTATGCACACAACAAGCACACGGTATGGAGGACAGAACATGAAAAGGGTAAACAAAAAATGAATGCATAAATACAGGAAACAAAACACATAACAATAAATAAAAGAGAAAAAAACTGAAATAAATAAATGTGGAAATAAATATAGCAATAAATAAACACAAGAAAAAATAAATATGGAAATAAATAAAAAACATAAAACAATATCATTCCTATATTAGGGTTAGACTTGATTACCTGAATATGTCCTTTAGAAAAAAAATGGAATTAAGCATAAATATCTGTCTACTTTTTTCAGTTTTTTACACCACAATTAAAAGCGTTTTTACAAAAGTTTGCGAGAGCTATTACTTTGAAAGAACTTGCAAGAGTTCCTCCCGGGCAGCTCAGTGAGGTAAAATAACAAAACAATATCATGCTGGGAGTTGAACCACTGACCCTCAGGTTGGAAGACATCCATTTACCCCCTTGAGCCAAAGTCACACACAAATGTTGCATTAACATCTTACTATTACCACATTATAACATTATCATGAGGAGGAAAGGACTTGTTAGAGGAGATATTGTAAAAACACTTGTTGAAACTCATCACAGGAAGTGACAGTCCAATTTCTTACATCTGTTCAGAAATCACAAGGCTACCAGGGCATGGAGTCATGTTTCTTTTTTCCTTTACAAACAATGGAATTAAGCCTTGGTACCTTTCCAACTACCAAACTTCAGGTATTTTTCCAATAAAAAAAAAATCCTCCATTCAAACAACAAATACTTATCTCGATTGGGACATTCCGGCTATGAGTTGATCCTTTCTGAACAACAGCCCATAATTGGGATGTGGCTGAGAGGAAGAGCTGTTCTCTTTGATTCTGAAGGTGGTGGGTTCAAAACCAGCCAAGCAGTTATCACGTTGATTTTTCCTATTGTGTATTGTGCTGCTTGCTAAATGTGTGCGTGATCTCACTGATATAGTGGAGAAGAGCTTCAAAATCAAAAAATCTCAAACCTGTTAGAAATCCCATCCCTTGCACTCCTGTTACTGAGTTTTCGGTAGTAGCAAAACCTTTAATAGCAACACAATTTCTGACTCTAATAAACATTTATATCTGTCTCTTGAGGGCTCTGAAGTGAAGTGTACTTTTTGCGCCAAGTACATCAATACAAGTAAATCAAAGTTTATTTAATTAGCCCAATATCACAAATTGTACTTTTGTGTCAGAGGTTTATACAAAACATGAATACGCTGGAAATTCCCGGTGCTGTAAGCTTTTAAAATATGTATTGAAGACAGAAGAGTCACTGTGTTTCGCCTTGCACTGTGTACAACTTGACACACAGCTTCTAAATAAAATGGGGACTGTTCAGAAAAAGTTAAATAAATATTATAGCAACTCAAAGATATTGTTAAAGACATGTGCACAACTTTCAGAGCAATTGAAGTACAATTGTTATAAATGTTGTCGTATCCACAGAATACAAGGCTACCAAGCAGAACAACATTGTGTGAAACACGCACAGACACAGAAATTAATAAATATATTAATGTTAGTACAAATAAATGTAATACATTACATATGTGTGTGTTCTGTTTTATTCTCAACTTATATATTTTTATTTATAAATTTATTTTTTCTTGTGTTTATTTATTCCAGGCATTTGTTTCTACATTTATTTATTTCCTAATTTATTTCCTAATTTATTTATTCTTTTATTTATTTATTCCTGTATTTATTTCCGTATTCATTTATTTATTCATACAATTATTTATGCATTTATTTATTTATACTTATGTCATGTTCCGTCCTCCATATAAGGAGGAATTATTTTTGTTTTACATAACTTTTTTTTTTAAAGTGCAGTGCCTGCGCCCTTCTGCTGCAAAACCTTTTTTTACATTTTCTATTAAAAGTTTACTAACATGTCCAAATTGCAAATCTTGACACTAAACCAGTGTTCTTGTTCATTACATTTCTTTGTGCACTCTATTTTTCAGAACATTTAAAAGTTAGCCTATACTTTAAAAAAGTGGTGTGGACAAAAATGTAAATTTCCAAAAAGTGGTAAGGACATGTCCCCATCGCAAATGTCGCCTATATATAAACTCCCTAAAACACATTGTAGACGATTAACTCTCTAATTGTACATTTTTATGTTATCTTACCCTAAATGTGTTTTGTAAATGTCTGCAATGTGTATTGATTTTAATAAAATCATGTTCAATTGTTTTTTATTTAATTGTATTATTATCTTTATACAGTCTATGATTATTATGTGAGAAGCTAACTGCATGATTGACAGGTCTTTAACCAAACGTTTGCAGTGGGCGGGCTCTAGGTAGGATCTGTTTCCGGAACAAACCCCCCCTCCCCCCACACACACACACACACACACATACACACACGTGTGTGGCAAAAGCTGGCTTTCAACGCTGTCCATATTGCATATAATCAGACGCAGGTAAATTGCAATAGAGCTATCTCTTGAAACATAGTCGGGTTTTGCTTTATTTACCCCGACGTTTTAGCTTAGCTTTGCTGTTACCAATTCTAGCATTAGCAAGTAATGTTAGCCATACATGCGAATGCGCTAGCTGCTTTGCTAACTTTTGAGTTGCTATTATGTTCATTTTGTCTTTCCAGGGCCTCAGCAAACTCCAGTCCGTTAACAAGTTGTTGCAAGTGTTTGGCAGCTGTGCAACAAGAAGAGTTACCCTGATCCACATCTATTTTTGCAACCTCAGCTCCACAAACTGTAAGTAATTTCAATCGCATTGTTTTATAGGCCGATATTGTGATTTGAGTTTGTTGTCATTCCTCAAACAAACACTGCAATGCCAAACATCTGCAGTTGTTTTAAGTGCATCGACTCAAGATTATTGCATAATCGAGTTTAGCATTTGCAATATGTTACTAATGATGATCACAGTGTTTTTAACCCACAGTAGGGAGACTTGCATAATGTAAGAATGTATGCAAATGAAGCCACGGTTGCATTCAAAGTTTTGGTTCACAGTTTAGTTTTTTTTTTGTCGTTAGAAAAAGGAAGACGGCTACAAAATGTCAAGAGAAATAAGTTATCATATTTTAATATTGAAATATACAATTTGTTGTATGCATATAGACTTTTTGCACTACTTTTTCTTTTGTATTTTATTATATGTTGCATTGTTGGAGGAGCTCAGGTCAGAAGAATTTCATTGCCATTGGTACACTCTGTAGCTTTGTGCATATGACAATAAAACCTTTGAATCTTGTTTTCTCAAAAACATAAACTTGATCATACTGGATGAAATGTATGCACATTATATAATGAATGTTATCGTAGATGTAAGTTATCCTACTATGGTGTCACAGTACTGTATGGCACTACCTCGGTAATATGTATTTATTTGTATTTAATCAGCAGGCATTTTACAATTGTTTTCATAGTAGGTGTACTCTTCAATGGAGTTACCTTTTTATGTTTTGAATTCTCTGTTCTCACAGATTGGCTCTGATGGCTGAGCCTGAGCACGTGTCCGTCACAGTCCAGGTGGGAGAAAAGAGAGGCTGTCCGGAGGAAGAAGGCAAAGACACACCTTCGAAGAAACCCAAAGTTGAGAAGGATCACAAGAATGGAGACCCTCCAGTCAAAGTGGATGAGGAGGAGGAAGGGCCTGATGGGGAAGCAGTTGATGGAGAAGAGGAAGGTGAAACCTTTGCTGATATGATGAAGCATGGCCTCACTGAGCTGGATGTGGGTATCCTGAGGTATGTCAGTGACCATGAGGGCTTCTCAGGAATCCTGAAAGAAAGGTTCGTCATGACAGCTTTTAACTAGTTTGCATAACTTGTTTCAGTTTGGATTGTTTAACAGATAATCTGTTGTTGTGTGTTATCAGATATTCAGATTTCGTGGTGCATGAGATCAACAGACAAGGCAAAATCGTGCATTTAGATGACCTCTCCGTCCCTGCAGAGGCTGAGGTAAGATATTGGGTTACATTTCAATCCCCAGTGTTTCTAGGCAGACCTGTAAGCAGCTTAAAATCCTCCTGAATCCCTATTTTTCATATCTTTTCACATTCTACGCATCATTTTGTGAAATGGTTGGTATTGGAATTTTATCATGTTGGTCAATTCCATACACAAGACATATGTTGGCATCCATCAGTGTGATAGGGATCTCTCCTAAATAGATTTTTGTGAGATTTCCTCAATTTCCCTCTGTTAAAGTTTTTTTTGGGAGGCGCTATCCTTATCGGAAGCAAGTCATATACAGATAGAGGGTTTTGTAATATGCTGTTCAGATTATAAAACCCCCTGAGGCAAATTTGTGACATTGGATCCATATAAACATATTCTTCTTCGAGTCCGTAGCAATCTCAGATGTCGTTCTGCCAGTATCGGGCACAGGCCACATATAAACATATTGACTCAGCTTCTCCATTAGACTATTATTGAGTTTTTAATACTATGGCTAAATGTGTCAGTGGACAATAAGCATTTAAAATGTATTATTTCTTGTTCAGAGATTAAACGACGTCTTGAATTAATTATACAACAAGTACAAATGGTAATCCAAAATAACTACTGTTACTTTGACACTCTTAGCAAAACAAATATAAAAGGAAAGCTTTGTGGAAAGCAACCATCAAATGATGTTTAAATGTTCTTCTAATTTAGGAAGCCCCAGAGCCTGAGCCCAAACCAGAGGATTGTGACGTGCTAACAGAAGAGCAGAAGAAGAAGCTTGGCGAGCTGCAGCTCTTCAAAAACAAAGAGGACGAGGTCCCCATTGAGGTGAGTTCACACACACTGGATCCCTTTTTATCACAACTCAAAACCCAGTGGACGTTTTAGGTGATGACCTTTCTCTTCTCTTAACATCTGTAGGTGATGGAGGATACTAAAGAGAAGCGGACACTGCTCCACAAAGCCATCAAGACACAGTTTCCTGGTATAGAGACAAAGACGGAAGAGAAGGAAGGACGCAAGTTCATAGTAGCCTACCATGCAGCTGGGAAGAAAGCTCTAGCAGGTAAGAGGAGAGAAGGAGAACCAGACCTCAGCTTCACAGTCTGGACAGGGTTCTTGACCATGAGTAAACTAATATGTCCGGCTTATATATGTACACATCATTCAATTTAGCTGCTGCGGCTTATATTCAGGTGCGCCTTATAGTCCGAAAATTACGGTAATTAATACCATGCTCCACTCTCAGGCCCATGCATGAGATCTCATCCCTGACATCTCACCCCACAGTCCTTAAACATCTTTTACTCAGTAACATTATTCTATCCTCCTTTTGCTCCCCTCTGGTGGATAGAGGTGAAAGCAACTGCAGGTAAGAACTTATTCTCCACACACCTCAGAGGAAGTGGTTAAAACCCACACGGAGTTAGGTGTCGGTTACTAGGAAAATGCTTTTTCTTTTTGTAATCAAAAAGTAAACGTATTCCCCATTTATTATAAGCAATCACAAATGAGTTTAACTTAAAGGTAACCACGTGGAAGTACAACATCTGTTAAGCTTTACCTGGAATCTTAAAAGTGAATATTATATTTTGTATCTGTGAATTATTTAGCTCAACAATTTGTACTATGTTCTTCATGTGTCCATAAAAGCTCCAAGGAAACACTTCTGGCCCAAAAACCGTGGCAGTTTCTGCCACTTTGTCCTCTACAAGGAGAACAAGGACACCATGGATGCTATCAATGTGCTTTCAAAGTTCCTCAGGTTTGTGTTGAACTTTAAAAAAGGATAATCATTTCATCTTAAGAGACAGATTGAGAGTTGTTTTCCCAATGAAATAGGATTTGAACCGTCATTTTCTTCATTTGTCTTTCCAGGCTTAGACCCAACATGTTTTCCTACATGGGAACCAAGGACAAGAGAGCCGTCACTGTGCAGGAGATAGCAGTGCTCAAGTGAGTGTGGAATGCTTTAAGCTTATCACAACATGAATTACTGTGCATTCATTTCATTGTCTGTGTATGATTTGTGAACAAGTGGTTCATGGTGCATCTTGTCCGTGCTGGAGGAGTTTCTGCTGTTACTAGGCAGCATTTTGACAGGATGAGTGATTCTGAAACCTTGTCCCTGTCCCCTCAGGATCACAGCAGAGAGGTTGTCTCACCTCAACAAGTGCCTCATGAACCTGAAGCTGGGAAACTTCTGCTACAAAAACCATCCTCTGAAGCTGGGAGAGCTGCAGGGCAACCACTTTACTATTGTCATCAGGTCAGCAGATGTTATTTAAGCAGATGTTACGTCACTTGTCACTTTAACTTATTCCGTACTTTATAACTTAGATGACCAAATATGTACATATGCTGACAGTTATTTTACTCTTATTTTTACTCAACTCCTATTTCATAGTCTTTTATTATTATTATCATTTAAAAAAAAATCTTGATTTTATTTATTTTTCAATAATGTGAATCTTTGCTGTCCTGTTTTTTCACGCTTACCCTGTTGCTGCTTTGTACAACTGAATTTCCCCTCGGGGGTTAATAATGGTTCATCTTATCTTATCTTACTTAAATCCCTTTTGTTATGAATGCTGGTTACCTGTAACCAACCAGTGGTTGTGTGTCCAGTATTATCAAGTATTTTGTTAATAGTGCTCCTTATGATATCAAATCTGCCATGTCTAAAAAATGTCAACGACTCTCCAAAAAGATGTATAACACATCAATTCTCTGGTTTAAATATGTTGTCCCGTTGATTTTGTTTAAATTTGAGCATGATGTTTTGCTTCTAGCTTTCATTTTTAGGAAGTCCTGTATCATATCTCTTTCTTCTAAATTGTTCAGGCATAATGTGTCTGGCCTTGAAACCATTGTTTACTTCCCTGTTACATGAATGTACTTCTCATTGTTGTTTTATTTGTTGATTTATCTGTAAATCAGGAACATCTCAGGCACAGACGAGCAGGTCGAGCAGGCCATGACGTCCATCAAGGCGACAGGCTTCATCAACTACTATGGGATGCAGCGCTTTGGCACCACGGCCGTGCCTACACAACAAGTTGGAAAGTAAGGTCAAACCCAAGGAAGCTGACATACTGTATATTGTGATTATGTTATTAGTGTTTACTCAAGTATTTTAATCCTTTTGTTTCGGCGCAGGGCTATCTTAAGAAATGACTGGAATGAGGTGGTGGATTTAATTCTGAAGCCCCGTCCTGGAGGTACGGAACTTCTTTCTCTCACACTTTCTTCTACTATATTTAAATTAGATATGGTTTGAAATATGTAAATCTTTCAACCCTCGTTAACACTTTTTCAGCGGAGAAAGAGTTCCTGGTGCGCTGCAGAGAGGAGTGGGCAAAGAGTCAGGACCCCGAGGCGGCCCTGAAGAAGCTTCCCAACAAACGCTGCGTGGAGGGTCAGCTGCTGCGAGGCCTGTCCATGTACGGCAAGAAGAACATCGTCACTGCTTTTGGGATGGTTTGTGCCTTTTTTTTTTTATCATTATTGATAATGCTATCAATAAGCTGGAAATGTGTGTTTTAAAGAAACAGAACATACAGTAAAGCAGCAAAGGTCCGATGTAAATGTATGTTTTTGGTTCTAATTTATAATGCAAAGGAATATGAGACTTTCAAAGAGGGTTTACACAGTTCCATACAAATCTGATTTCTGACGTGAAAGTCTAAATGGGTTTAAAATACAACAAAAAATACACCTTTTTAGGTCTTAAAATGAATGCTCTACTGTTGTGTTGTGCTGGAAGGGGTCACAAGAATGTATTTATGTCTTTCTTGGTGGAATAATTCATTTAAATTCAATCTACGATGTCTTGAAAAGTCCCTAATGTGAACTGTTTAAATGTCCAAACCCTTGGAAAATACTTTTCATGACATTTTCACTGACGAGTATTTGTTATTCTTTCAGCTCCCTCGTAACAACCGCCTGATGTACGTCCACAGCTACCAGAGCGTGGTGTGGAACACCATGGTGAGCCGGAGGATCGATGCCTTCGGCCTGAAGGCTGTGGAGGGGGACCTGGTGCTCAAAGGAAGTAAGAAGACCCCCTTTCTATTAGCTTATGATAAATATTAGGGATGCACCGAATATTCGGCCGCCGAACGGCCGAAAATGGTTAAAAAGACTCTTTCGGCCGAAAGGGTCTAGCACCGAAAAAATATCACCGAATGTCAGAGAACAGGGTTACGTTGGTAAGCTAACGTGTTGTTGTGGACATTCGGTGATATTTTTTCGGTGCTAGACCCTTTCGGCCGAAAGAGTCTTTTTAACCANCTTTGTTTATTTGAAATCAGATGAAAACAAACTGTAACGGACCCTGCCGTGTTATCTATGATCACTATACGCTTACATTCATAATTTCAGCGGAGGGGGGGGGACGGCGCTGCGGAACAGCCGAGTGCGAGTGAGAGCTGTCATCTTCCCTTTACAAGCTTCAAAAACGTAGTTATCGTGTGATTTTCGAAATAAAAGTTTAATATTCTGAAAGCCAAGACTTTGTTTATTTAAAATCTTAAACAAAACACCCGAACCCCAAAAACAATTTTTTTTACGCAAATCCACGTTTATTTTGAAATGAGCCGTTGCGACTTCCGACTGATTTCGATAGAGCGGGTCACATATTAGTTCTTGAGTTATGGCCCAAAACTTAAATCATCTTCAAAATTGTTCCTCTCTTAGTCCAAGTGGACGTTTGTGCAACATTTGAAGACATTCCCTTAAGCTGTTCCTTAAATATCATGTCCACAAGTAAAGGACAGACGGATGGATATATAGATGGATGGGCAAACAACCCAAAAACATCTCTCAAGTAATGTAGATTTTGTGATTTGTGGGATGAAAATCTTGGTGGAATTAGTTAGTTAGAGAAAAAAATAAATACATTTACCTTTGTTGTAAACAGGAGCGGGTTTATTCTCCAGTTTCTCAAAATCACTATGCACCAGGGAGATCCTGGGGTCATCATACTGAATCACCTCCCTGCGTTAAACAGACAGAAACACCTCAACAGGTTAGAGAATTCACGGTATCATTTAAGTAAAGCATTCAAATACCTGCAGTACACAATAACAATCTCTGTATTACAATATGGGTAACATTACAGAACAAAGTGCAACAGTGCTGCACCATGTGGAGAAATTATATGCTGTAGAAATTGTGAGAAAATAGACAACCAACTTTTATCTTTGACTACATAACTTGTGTCGTTGATTTTATCGGCTAAAAACTCAACAAGGAAACTGACCAAGTGTTATTGTCACAGAAAAGAGACATTGGTTGCTAGTGTCAGACAATGATGTCCTTAGAGTCCGCTACAATACTAGTATTTGATTAGCGACGCACCAGCTGACATCAGTGGGTCTGATGATGATGCGTCTGTACGCTCCGGCCAGAGAATAGTCCTTCACTTTGTGTCTCATGTTGTCGATGTCCAGCCCGTCTGCAGTGAGCAGCTCTCTGTAACCTTTACCCACTAAACAAGACAGAAACAACGTTACAGGCAAATACAAGCTCAGGTCTACATTTTCCTTTGATTTATTTTTCTGGACTTAAGTGAATTCTGTTTCTTTGTCAAAGATTTCAGATTTTGCTAAACCACACTTTTTGTATTTCTTTCAATTAGCTTTTTATTCAGATCCATGTAAGCAGCCTGTGGAGCTTAGAAGCCTTTTGTGCAGCTCGTGTAGTACCATGCATTAGTTTGAAAACCTCCCAATGTTATTTTTGACAGCTATCTTTTAATCTAACATGCACATTCTCACCAAGAACCACTTCTTACCATGATGAGTGGGGTAGATGACATCGAACCCGGGAAGTGGCATCACGGTGTCATGGATGGAGGTGGTCTCAGCCTCCTCTGCAGACAGCACATGAGCTGTGGCTACATGGAAATATCAAGATACAACATCAGAAGGCAGCACTTGTATCTTTTCAACATTAGGCCAAAATGCAGTTTCGGGTGGTGCCAAATTGAAAACCCTATGATATATATCAGGTGCAATATCCATAAATAACACTTATTTTAGTCAATTAAAATACACAAGTTTAAAATACTTTCATTTGGGGTTCTTTAAAACTATAGTTCAAACCATAGTAAACATTGTATAGTGTTGTTGCTTTACTTGTCTGAGAGTTTAATGAAACGACTATTAACAATGACTTTAATATTTATTAGGGGTGCACCGAATGGGAAATTCTTGGCCGAAACCGATACCGAAAATAGGAAACAGTTGGCCGAAAACCGAATGCCGAAAATGATTAATAGAAATATATATATAATGTATACATTTTTTACCAATGTTGTTCAGCTGCCTGATTATGGAAAAATAAATGATTATGGCAAAACTTAACTTAACTAATAGTCACTATTATGGGTCCATAAAACATTTATTCAGCACTTTTGAATGCATACAGTACATTAATTCCAAGTCAAGTGCATTTTCTTTTCTCTGTAGGATAACTACAACAAAGTGCATTCAGAACAAAGCCAAGGTGCTTTAAAACTACATAAACATCTAGGCCAGTAGGCCTACAACAAAATAGTGTAAATAAA